TTAGGCTGGGGACCGTGCTGGTAGGGTGGCCCTTGTGGATTAGGCTGGGGACCGTGCTGGTAGGGTGGCCCTTGTGGCTTAGGCTGGGGAAGGTGCTGGTAGGGTGGTCCTTGAGGCTTAGGCTGAGGAGGGTGCTGGTAGACTTCTCCTTGGGGGATGGGTTGCAAGGGGTGCTGATAGATTGGCCCTTGTGGCTTAGGCTCAGAAGGTGGCTGGTAGGTTGGCCCTTGGGGTTTAGGCTGGGAAGGGTAGGGCAGCACTTGTAGTGGGGGCTGGGGCTGGTAGCGTAGTGGCTTTGTCTGGGCCTGGTAGCGTGGAGGCTGAGGCTTGAAGTGGGGCTGGTAGCGTGGCACATTTTGCTGAGGATGGTAACGGGGGTGGTAGCGCATCATCTGGGGTTTATAGTGGTAGCGTGGCACCTGGGACTGGGGTTGAGGTTTGTAGCTGGGAGACTGAGGCTGGGGCTTGTTGCTGGGATCCTGAGGCTGGGGCTTGTAGATGGGGTCCTGTGGCTGGGGCTTGTAGGTGGGATCCTGGGGCTTATAGCTGGGATCCTGTGGCTTGTAGCCAGGATCCTGTGGCTTGTAGCCAGGATCCTGGGGCTTGTAGCCAGGAACCTGGGGCTGGGAGAGTACCCCCCGGGGCTGGTAGTTTGAAGTCCGCTGGGGTTTATTGGTGTCAAGACCCGCAAAGCCATGGTTGGTAGCTGAAAACAAATACAAATTGACAAACAAAATTGCATCAATCATCCCTTGTAAAAAGTAGAAATACAGATTTTAAAAAATATTATGCCGTTGTCTTACATTTAATACTTGCTTGAAGCTCTCCAACAAAGAACAGCCATGGCAGTACAACACTAGAAAAAGAATCATGTTTAAACACTGCACTTTTTCACCTCAAATGAACAAAGTCATTACATGAAAGAATAATTTCAAAAGTACCACAAAAGAAGTGTCATGGCTTCAACCAAAGTTGCGACCAAGTGTAAGCTGAGAAGTATCTTCTGCTGACGCAACACGACCACAACTGTGCATTCCTTCCTCAGTGGTGCAGTTGCAGAAAAGTTCAAGAGCATTAATTTACCTTGCCGTGGCAGCCAATCAAAGCCTTTCTCCCTAACTAACTGACTGGAAACAGGTGATGTCAATGGAAGTGGCGGTGTCTCCACACACCTGGGTCCAATGTGTCCAATGACACAATGACAGCACGGTTTGTTTTGTTTGTCACGTTGGCCTCCAGTGCTGATTTCTATACATTGTATTTTCTTTTCTTTGGTAAATGGTTTGCTTCTTCTATCTGTCAGCTCATGCTGTCTTGTTAACTTGTCTGAGCCTTTAAACCAATTTGTGACATTTTCTTTTAAGTGCAGCACTGCAGTGGGATGTTTTGTTTTATGTCAAGAGTGAAATGGCCTGCACTTTCCCCTGTCTTGTAAAATTTAAGATGAGAACTAGAAAAACCATACATAATTTATTTATTTTTTGATTGAAACTAGAAGTCTCTATTAAAAACCTGTGTTTTTGTTTTTGTTTTTTAGAGATGCTAATATGTCTTTAACAACTTTTGACAGTAAACTTATTCTTTTTACTGTATTTAAATCAATAAAGATATCACTATTTTCCAGATATTTGCTGTTATTTAAAAGAAAAATTATCATTTTAATTGATATCTGACTAACTTCCCTGCTTTGATAAATTACAAATTTATCTATCTATTAAAATCACAGAAAAAAATTAATAATTTACACACCGACTATTAAAAAACAGGCCAAAAGTGTAGATGATGTCCGCATCAAGAATCAGTACTTTTACAAATAGTCATTCATTCTTTGAGAATGTTGTGTAACTGTAAAATTACAGATTTATTGTATTTAAAAATGCTAAAAGAAAAAAAAAAGATATTTGCCATTGTTTTCACAGGTTTTAACTGTATTCTGTATTCTTAACACAGTTTTGACTCTGATCAACTAATAAATGAAAAAAGAATTACTGCATCAGCTGTTTATAGTTGATCAGAATGAACCAAGGGACAGTAGATAACAACAGGCCATTTGGTGGTGGCATGACATTTCTAGTTGAAATGTAAGAATAAATAAAAATGGAGAAATAGTTCATCTTCGGTGTCTCTAACGTGGTTAAAAATGTTCTTTTTTGATGCAATAACAGCAGACAGCCAGCAGATGGAGCTCAGCCTATACGAGGAGAGAAGAAGCTGCTTTCAAAAATAAAAATCACACTTGATTCTATTAGTTTCACTCTGTGGTAATGAGACAACCATCCAGTTCATATTTAGGACGATTATGAGTTAACTCCCTGAATCCCTTCTGCCTACAACTGGTTAAAATTATATTTATATCATCATCAAACTGAAAACAAAGACAGTTTGTGTAAAGCAGCTCTTCTTTATTATCTCTTTAAACATGCACACAGTTGCATTAATACACAACAGACAAAGTGTATTAAAATAAACATTTAATTGTCTGTTTTTCTTTTGCTACTTGTCTGAAATAAGACTTGTTATGAGAGGAAAATAGCCCCAAGGCTCAAAATTGATCAGTGCACGGGAGCGTTCTCAACATACTTACAATATTATATATATATATAATACTAACATAACAACCTTACATGTAAAGATTTAGAACTTATAGTATTAAACACTGAACCAAATTACCCGACGAGCGGGGAAAAAAAAGGGTGAATACAATAAAATAATATACTTGCAAAATTGCAATACAAATGAAGAGCTAACTAGAGAATAAAACGTGAGATAAAAGAGAAAGCAGAGGTCACAGTGCAGTTGGAGATATTAACAAAACAGAAAAGTCTTCAGTCTTTGTTTAAATGAGCTGAGTGGCAACAGATCTGCAGGTTTCTGGTGGTTTACTCAACGTATGTGATGCATAAAAATTCCTCCCGAAGAGTCTTTGACAGGACAAAAACAAGCAAATATGCAACAAAATGTTGTGTGTGAAGAAAAGCAACGTGTTTTCTTCACAATGCAGACAAGCTGGTTTGTCTGAAAGTCCAACACACTCTCTGCATCTACTGAATCTGGCCTCTGAACGTCTGTTAAAGCTGTTTTTCATGTGCAGTTGTCCTCAGATGTATTCATATCCTTCCATTAAAGTAAAGGCAAAACTCACAGTAGTCACTCTACGGAAGAGGATTAGGGCCACTGAAGAAAAAAATAATACAATTCTGAGATTAAAGTCAGACTTTTCTGACTTTTTCCCAGAACATTAAAAAAAAAATTTAAAAAAAAACAAACTATTCTGGGAGATTTTTTTTTTTCAATCTCTGAAAAAAAGTCAAAATTATGAGATTAAAGTCAGAATTCTGAGATTAAAGTCAGACTTTTTTCCACAACATTAAAAAAAAAATAAAAAAAATAAAAAAATTCCGGGACATTTTTTTTTTCATTTTCTGAAATTAAAGTCAGAATTCTGACTTTAATCTTAGAATTCTGACCTTTTTCTCAAATTTTTCTTTTTTTTCTCCAGTGGCCCTAATCCTCTTCCGTACCACTCAAATAACTAGAAATTGAAAAAAGTTTGTTTCTCCTTCTTTAACAGGAGGATATGAATACATCTGAGGACGACTGTATGTTTTATGTTCCTGCTCTGCAATAATCTGTTGCAGCATTAACTTTATATTCTTCACTGCTTCCTTATCGATGCAGTTTCTCCCACAGGGAACATAACCGTTGCATGAGAGCGACTCCGTGTTCGGCTGAACTGCTGACTGTCAGCAGCACTGAGAGGAGGCCGTCCAGGAACTTCTTCCTGTCAGGTTACGTGAGATAAATGGAGTCACAATGAGCTCAGAATGCAGTGAAGTGAACATTACGTACGGTTAGAGCTGCTGCTGCTCTGGATGCTGACTCTAGACCCACACAATGTGATGAGCTCATGTGTTTGGCTCCGGGTCAAACTGCAGCTCGCTGAAAGCAGAGGGGCAAAGATTTGAAGTATGATTTGACACCAACAAAAGCTGCATGTGAGCTGCAGATTCTTAAAGACTGATGTTGATCCACCTCAGTGTGAAAGTCTGAAAGCTGTCTGGTTCACTGCTGAGGCCTCCTGACCTCCACATGCAGCCCATAATAATCAGTATTGTAATGATCACCAGTAGTAAATCTCAAATAAACAGTGTCACAGGGCGTAAGAGTTGCAGCTAAAGTATGTTTCTGTAAAATGTCACCACTGAAAATGACTTTAATTATGCAAAATATCTCTGATTTAGCAAATGAATCGACATAAAACATTGTGTTTTTTTCCCTGTTGTCACATTTTACAT